ATAACTTGGGTTTTTCCAATTCTCTGCCCACTGGAAACATCGCAAATTGCACCAAATTGCACCCACGTCACGAAAAAGCTCCGAAGAAGAAAAGTACAAGGGAAACTTCTCTTTATTTGATTATATCCTATTTTAGAGCTTATATTTCCTATAATTTGACTTTTTCCCCATTCTATGCCCACTAGAAACATCGCTAATTGCACCAAATTGCACTCACATCCAGAGAAATCTCCAAAGAAGAAGCATACAAGGGATAAACTCATCTTTATCCGATTATATTTGGATTCTAGGCTTATAAGCCAAAAAATAGTGACCGATGACCATCTAGGACTAGTAACGGAGGGCCATTAGTAGAATATCAATATTAGTTGATTAATCGTGCCTTGAGGACGATTGCTGGTGTTGGGAAGGAGCTGCTTAGCGTTGACCACGGCCCTATAGTACAATTTAGCCGAAACGCAGCGCGTGGCACTGCCCGTCCGTGGCTAGCACCGATCAGACCGCCCCGGGGTAGCGCGTGTCCAAGCACATTCCTGAGTACTCAGCGCCGTGCCCACTGTTACTAGGTTTAGCTTCCCGTTATTGTCCTGATAGGATGTTTAAGATGGATGAGTCTTGAGATAGAGGGGAGGGGCACCGAGAAAGTCCATGCAAAGTGCATCAGAGCTAAGACGTGAATGACATTGACTTGTCAGAGGATTGAACCCTGACCGTCAAAGAAACGGGGTTGAAGAAGAATAAGACCCTGAACGAGATCCGGCGGCGGGTGCCAGCATCGCCTGCTGGTATACGGGTCACTCGTATGGGTCGGCGGGCGCTTGTTTCACTCGTTCGTAGCGGGTACGGTCGCGGCGGTTGGCACTAACAGCGCGCACGTCCTGACACGCAATCGCAACACTTTGTGGGTCCGTCGGGGGCGATCTAAGGGTGCCGGGTAGCGGCACCAACCAACCGATACAGAATGACCACCGGTCACTCGCTCATTACGACTCTCCCCTTGTTTGTGACATGAGAGTAAGCGGCGGCTAGATGTGTGATGGGGGAAGCGGGGGGAATTCGTCGTTCGTAGTCCGTATCAGGGTGCGCCAAGTAGCCAGGCGACATCATCGCCGACTGGTGCGAACACCCGAAACAGCTGATAGTGACGCGGCGCCGGCTGGCACGCGGCCTTCGTGCACTTCATCCAGCGACCAACGCCATAGAACCCGCTTCTCAGCCATCCCTCCCCCAACTAGTGCATACGTTGATCATTTGGTGGATCATTGAACAGCAGTCCGGGTGATTTAAAGGGCATTTGGGACATTGCCGGGAAAATTCGGGCAAAAAAAATGAAAAAAACTCACCCTGTTCATTAAACATCGCAGCTCATCTTCAAAGGTCTTGGCCATAGGTTTCGGCAGCACGTGCAGCGATTGGACCGTTGGCCGGAGAATCCAGAACGTTCGCGTCTGGAAAATGGACTTTTGGGGATAAGAACAGGGTCTTCTGGACTGTTGAAGTGGACCATTATCAAGAAATTTATTGTTTTTTTACTTAGATTAAGGTAACATGATCTTCTTGGGCTTTTGAAATGTCATTATCGAGGAAAATTGATTGTTTTTACTAGGTTAAGTAAGTAAAACTCAATGGGAGCGTCAATTTATCCTATGCCGAGCGACGACCATGTCGATTTTCCTGGTCCATGGGTTCACATAGGCTGACCATTCGGTTTCAGCCCTCAACAAAGCCCCATTGTACGCAACAAAGCGCAACGGAGCCACACTTCGTTCACCACTCGACCCCGTGAATTGTGCACTGAAAGCAACGGGTTTGGGAACGCCTGGAGACAAAGAACCTCACTTTCAGCGCTTTTAAACCCCGAAAACTCACAATCAACATGAGCTTGGCGAACAACATGAACATCGGGAGCATAGACGAATGCCAATATTGACCGTCCAATTAAATCTGTTGGCAAATGTCCAAGATAAGGAATAGACCTGAAACATTCGGGGTTTTTCTAAATTGCACTTTAAACGAGGTCATGATAGAGTCTACGTTGGGGCTAATTATGAATGCAGCTCGTCCAGCTGGAACGGCTCAGCTCTGGGAGGTGTCACCTAGTACCAGTGGGACAAGCGTGATGGTCCCCACACCAGCACTCTGCTTCTCACCTCCCGGCACCGTGTCGTGTCTGATAACGTGCTAGACTAGCTAGCACCATTAGACTCGAAGATCACATGCACTAGCCGCCTACTCAATCAATTCCCCACAGAGATGCAACATTCATTTACATAATGACATTCCTTTGTGGGCCAATTGAATGAATGTAGACGGATAGCGCCGTTCACTTTGGGGTGGCTAACTGGCTGGCATCTTGCCAGAAATACTCAATTAGTAAAGCTAAACTTACGAGTAATCGATGTGTGTCAGTGCACAACTTGCTGCATGTTTTGTGGTGAACGTCAAGCAATGGAATGGTGTTGATGGACCAAAGGCAGCTCGTAGGGCTAGCGCTGTGATTCTGGCCCTCTTTTGCTCGAATTCGCAGATCAGCTCGCATGCATGGTTCACCACACCGCTGAAATGGTGCAGTTTCAGGTATTGCGTGCAATATCGGCAAAACTGATGACCTCCCGATGTCTTGGCGTAATATTAAGCGTTCATCCGCCACTCCACAAAAGGATAGGATCGGTAAGCCAGAAGCCGAACACAGCGGATGGTAGCAGCTTTGAGTATTGAGTGCAATATGCCAGCCAAAGCAATTTATGAGATATGGTGCAATATGCAGCCTGACAAGGAAAGGATGGTTGGTCGAAGTGGCCATTCAAAACGAGATGTATACCTACGTGATGCGTCTTCGGACGCTGATTTCAAATCTGCTTTCCATATCTGCTAAACGATTCTCTGAGCAGAGATATGCAGGAGGTTGTTGTACGGAGCACAATAGAGCTCGGCTTACAAATAGGACGTGGTCGGGTAGCACACTATGTACCTCGATGCATAGAGGTAGTTGTACCAGACTCAAGTATACGACCAGAGGTTCGAGTCCCTTGCTGGACGTGCTCTTTTGCATTGTTTCAGCAGTGCTCTCTGGAAGTTTTAACACAGCCTAGCATGATCAGGGAACCTTGTCATGCCATGAATAGGGCTTTTCTTGGAAAACTGAACCATTCTCGCCTGTGAACACGTCTCACGATTGTTGGAAGCAAAAATTTTTTCGCAATGGGAACACCGGATGAAAATATCCTTGCACTCTGCTGTGTCACAGGGTCCTATGACATTTGGAGGATGCACATTGAATAGGCGTTTCAAAAAAAATCCAAATATTGATTATATCAAAAAATCCAAATATTGAGGTCGTGGTTGTGATCAGGACCGTCAATACCCAGCAAGGACTGAAATTCAGCGGAAAAGTTCCATTGCTCACAGAGATTTTGATCGGCGATAGTGCCAGCGACCTTAAGGAATTTGTTGCCCATGGTTACCCCACTGTATCGAAAATAGGTCGAAATCTCAGATTTGGTTGAAAACTTGTCTCTAGGGCTAATTTGAGCCCCAGAACACGAATATCACACTCGTTCGGCGTAAAAACGCTTGCCAAGGACGTTGCCGGTTCCTGCACACCCTGCCCCTCCAGAATGCGAACAAGATATTTTCACGAAAAATGACTGCAGTGTTGATTTCCAGAGCACCAGAACACCTCTAATTTCAGATTTCAGCGAATTTGGGGGTTTTGGTGTGCCTCAAATACATGCTGGAAATGGGTGTGACCTGGTCAAAATTCCTGCATAACTTTGTCCAGGGAATCGTTTAGCAGATATGGAGGGCAGATTTGTAATCAGCGTCCGAAGACGCATCAGTGAGTATACATCTTGTTTTAAATGGCCACTTCGACCAACCATCCTTTCCTTAGTGAGATACTAATCCATGAT